TGCCGGGCCTGGTTAACCAGGTGTGCGTTTCCCCCACAGAGGAACTGAAGGAGTACTTCTCGCAGTTCGGGTCAGTGCAGAGGTGCCAGCTGCCTTTTGTAAGTACCTGCCCATCCTGCCGGCCGCCGTTCGTGCTTTCTCTGTGAAAGGAGGAAGGGGCTCCGGCTGGTGCTCGCCGGTCCCCGGCAGGAACGGTGCTGCTGCTGCGCGGCCCTGCCCCGGAGCCGCCTCCCCTGCTGCCCCTGGACGCCTCTTCCTGGGCTCCGGGCAGAGTTTCGGAGCTCTCCGCCTTTGCTCAGCCCCTTCTCCCAGCGGGTGCTGCCGCTTGTCTGCGAGCGGTGGGCCTCGGTGGAGCTCAGTGCTTCCCGTCAGCTGGGGAAAAGCTCTAGGAAGCACATCCCTCGCGTCCTATTGAGGCTGCTGATTCTGAGTAATTAACCTAGACGTGCTTTTCGCTTCTCTGTCGTTGTGTTGTCTTTCTTCTGACAGAGAGTAAAGCGTTTATGTGCCTGGTCTCACTGACCTGAACAATCCAAAGGTGTGGGGGTGGCCCTGCAGCCTGTCCCTGCTGGGGCTTCACGCTCCGTGCACAGTGAGGGGCTCACGCAAAGCCGCAGGACGCTGTCAGCTCTTCATGCCTCTGCTGCTTAGGTTGTTTATCTTCTGAGCGTCTAAGTGAGAAATAATAGTACCTAGCTCTTGGAGATGAACGCTCAAAAAAGAGTTCCCTTCCCAATCCGTTAGGGGTCAGTTGCAGGCCATTGCTGAAGGTGCGGAGGTTCTGCGGGCTCGTGTTTCTCCACATGAAGTAATGGTTGGTCAAATTAAGCTCAGTGTGTAGTGAACTTCAATTAGTGAGCTCGTGGGTTCACCATGGGTTGAGGACCCCTTTGCAAATGGAGAAGGATAGTTTGAAACAGTCTGCTTATTTCTGAACGCCAAAGCTCAGGCGTCTGCCTGCCAAGCTCGGTTCCTCAGGCCCGGCACAGGACGTGTTGGTGCACTGGGAAGGCTGCAGCTCACTGCAGACCTGCCTCCATCGTGGATTAAAGCTGAAGTGATGCATGTGTGTATGTGTTGATTCAGTGATTACTTTAGGAGGGTTTGTTAATGCTTAAAACTGCCAGAAGTACAGGAATCTGCCGGCAGCATAAGACACTAATTAAAACACCCCTGCAGTACCTTGACTTGTTTGGAAGTGCTGCCAGTCACACCTCTTGGTCGGGGGCAGAGCTGCTGTGCACTCCAGTTGGGATCTGAACTGGGATACAGGGGAGACCTGGCTTTTCTGCATTATCTCCTCTTTATTGACAACTGGCTTTTCTGACTGGTAAATTATTCTTAAAAATAACTTCATTTTTCAGTGCAGTTAGTGCTTGTCATCTTGAATTGCAGCCTGCTTTCTTAATATCTTAAGCAGCCACTTTATCTTGCTGAATGCTTTTCAAGGACTGTGGCAGGTTTATTTTCAAATCAGGCAGCCATTTAAATGTCAATTGTGTTGTGACTGGCTTAATAGTAGATAACTACTGCACTTTGAAGCTACTGGCTATGCATTATTCCAGTCTTCAACTATAACTCGAAATCTTATTTTTTTATGATTGCTGGACTCGAAAGAAGAGGATGCAGAACAGCCTCTGCTAGGCCCCCGCATGATGTAAATGCCATGAAGTACGAAGACTTCTGAAACAGCAGATGTTCCATTTCTCTGATAATTTCTGAATCTTTAAATTGCGTATCCGTAGAAAGTTTTTAACAGGCTATGTGAATATTTTCTCCAGTAATTGGATTATTATTTTTTTTTAAACTGGTAACTAGGACAAAGATACAGGCTTTCACAAACGTTATTGCTGGATTAAATTCTCGACGCCACAAGATGTTCAGAACGTGCTGCAGAAGGAGACCCACATACTCGAAGGTGCCAAGGTAATGTCCTAGTGCCTTTAATCAAGTCATGTTGTGAGTTGAGCTCTTTATTTCTGCCTTTGGTTGAACATGGCAACATCAAAATGTTGTTCCAAGTGTGATTCAGCATTTTGCCACTTAATATGTGTTTAATGCTTTCAAGTTATTAACACTTCATTTCCACCCTCTCAAGTTGTCTCGTCAAGGTCTGAGATAATATAAACACCATAGAGATCAAAGCCTTCTGCTATGCTAACCTAGAGGAATATGAGTGCAGTAAAACTGTTAAGAAACTGCCATGCAAGGAGTTATTATTTGTAATATGGGTTTCTGCAGGTCAGTTCCAACATCTTCCTTTGGTTGTTGGGTGGCAGGGGGACGATGACAAAGAATGCCAAGCTAAGCTTTGAACTTTAGTGGAAATTTCTTGTTTTCTTCAGCTATTATTTCTTACAGGAAAAGTAAGTTGCCTGATTTCATGTGTTCAAGATAAAAATTTTACACTAAAGCCAATTTAAAGTTTTTTACTTGTGATCTTTAACATTTTAAGTATTAAAAAAAGAGACACTTTGGCAATGTCACTGTATGGTACCAAGAGACAGTGCGCACCACCAGTTAAAAACCTGATCGAGTACCCTTCCGTGTCTGTCGGTCAGAGCCATGCAGCTGGAGCATCTCGCTTCACCGCAGCAAAGTGGCCATCTGGCCACTTCCCAAACATTCAGTAGGAAATGGTGTTGAGAGAGGATAAAAGGATGGAGTCAATGGCTGCCCAAAGCCATTAATAAACAGGTCCCCTGAAAATCATTAGAAACTTCCATCTAGTACCTTCATGAAACAGGGGCAAGTGGTATACTGAAGGGATTTTTTTGTAGGCTTACGTGTGCTTCAGCTGACTGCTTAGGCCAGGTAGTACAGAGGGAAACCAAAAGCAACAAGCAGGCTGGTATAACAGACATGATCAACTCCTATCTTAAAATAATTAATAAGAGTTCTTCACTTTGACACTTTTGATGCTAGGAAAAGGTAAAGAGTAAAATGAATTGGCAAGAGACTTGGGGCATGTTGACTGTGATGAAGTATTTTGCTTGATGTGGTTCATAGTACTGCAGGAGTCCTCAGTGGTTGTGGTTACTTTAGTGCCTCTTCTTCAGAGGAGCTGACCTGTGAGTTACAGCTGTGATGCAGAAACAAAGGACTGGTTTGGCAATTTCAGTCTTAAACTGACAAGCCAGGCAATATGCTGATCTGCCTACCTTGGGCTGAAAATAGCCGGGGTGTTACCTGTATGCAGTTGTCAAAATAAGTACTAGGAACAGCATAGATGGGTAGTTAGAGTCAGCTGATTGGAAATTATTTTGCTGCTTTTTATTTAAGCTGTAAGAGAGACACATTCACTTAACTGCCTAGGCTTCAAGGACTACACTCTCACAAGAGGTTCAAGAGCTAAGAAGCTTCTTTATAGTGAAATAAAAAGCAGAAGGCAGGCAATAGTTACCTTCTTCATTTCTTGAAAAATGCAAGCCTCTCCAGAAGCAAAATACACAAGCACTTCACCCACTGTTCTAGGCTAGGTTTAGACAGTTACCTTCTATTAGTTCCACTTGAAAGCACAAGCTTTTAAGATGTATTTTGCTGTGCACAGCAATTGCTGTGCAAATTATATTCAACTTTCCCGTCAGGAGCTTAGCATGTGTGGTTATGGCTCATGAATGAACCAGTTATAACCTCCTCTTCGGCTCTCTGTATGAATGTTTTAGAAGATCAGAAATGAAAAAAATATCAAAGCTTCTCACCTAACCAATTTGAATAATTTCCATTGTTTTCAGCTCACTCTCAAAGAGCAGCCCCGTAGAAGACGCAGTCAAAGAAGGAATCAAAGTGAGTGAACAGTGGAAGGAGGCTTTATTTCACTAAATGTAAAGAAACTAAAATAAAGATTACTGAAAAACTATGAATGAGTGTTTGTTTTAGAACAGAATCCAGCTGTTTCCCGTCCTTGCTCAAATGGAACTGTATAGTCACACTGAAGAAACACAGAATCAAACTCCCTAGCATCTGTTACAGCATAAGACAGTAATTATACACAGCAGAAAAGCTTTTAACAGGTGAAGTAAAAGCTTTAGCTACCTACAAAAACTAAAGCTGGAGGGAGGGGCTACATTCGTACCCTGAGATGCTGGGCAACAGGGAATCAGCAAAGTCAGAGCACTCACTAAAGAACAAATCCCTCATGAAACGTGTCAGAGCGGCCTCCATTCCTCCACTCTCCAGGGGTAGCTGTCCTAGGCAGAAGAATTAATGTGTGTGTATATATATATATCCACACAACACGAGCTGTGAACTGCTGTGTTACGCGCCATCCCCCTATACACCCTCTTGATATTAAAAATGCCTTTTGCATCAAGTCCAAGCGTGCAGTCCATTTCTCTGCCTCTCAGGGAGCACAGGCATTCAGTCCTTTCTCCTCTTTTTGCTCTCGTGCTCATGTTCTTTAGGGCGGCTGCTGTCCGATGGCCGTTTGGAACCGCCGTGTTGCTTGGCTTCTTCCAGAAACTTGTCCAACCCAAATGGATCCTCCTCAAACTGAACTGGTCCATCTCTGCCCCTCCCTCTTGCGTTACGATCCGAGTTAGAAAACTCTTTGTCAGGAACAAACCTGCAGGAGAAGAGGCAGTACTCAGCTGACTGGTACTTCAGGGTGCTAATTAAGTATATCTCTTAACTTTATTTTCTTACCTGTTGGTCTTTATTCGAGCCTCTAGATCATCACCATACATGTCCTTATCCACATTTTTACTTGGCCTGTATATGTTTTGGGCCATATCCTTGCCACTTCTCCAAGGCTGGTCATAAACATTATAAATTTCATCCTCTCCTCCAGCAAAGCCGCTGTCCATACCCTGTGAAGAAGAGCAGTATAATGCAAATGAGTCTGCAAAACCTCAGCTACTTTTAAATCAAGATACGCTGATGGTGTCACACAGATACACAGAGGTGGTGGTGTGTCATTTACTATTGATTTCAAATGAGTGTGAGCCCTTCATTAGGATATGAGTGGTTTGGCGTCTGGAATTAAATCCAGGAAGCTTGACACAATCGTTACAAGCCATTCGTATTTCAGAGTAACGGGCCATTTCAGTCTGCTCCACACGTACAGCTGGCTCTAATAGCCAACTACAACCATACAGAAACGCATCTTACTCAAAATTTCTGCAAAACATCATTTAAGCTGACTGATCCAAATCATACAGAGCCTTATGTAAACTGTGAAAGCAGAAGTGCCTTCTTGTTCAGTTTTAATTCATCAACTTTCCCTTCTGCCTGCAAGTCTTTCTTTGCAGATGTGAAAAGGAATGATTGACAAACTGCAGGTCTATTCAGGGACTTTCTGAAGCCTAATCTACTTTTTTATCTCTGCATAGTATAAAATTCAGGGAAAAATAAATGTTGCTGTTCACTATTTATATCTTCAGAAGGATTTTTAACATAAGCGATAATAGGAATAGAAAGTATTTACTTGCTTCTCTCTCAGAGCAGATTTCCCTTATTCAGTGAGTACACTTGTACAAAAGAAAAAATTGAGGTCACTGCAGCTTGAAGGCAAAATAGCTTCTTTCTCCCCACTCCCCAGTGAGAAAAAACACAACATAAACACTGTAATCCAGTTATATGTTCAGAATATTCTATTTTTCTCACATCAGCTATGGACAAAGGAGATAAACAGTTCCCTAACCAGTTGTGGAGACTTCTTTCAGAGTGAATCCACACCAACCATGAGAACAGGGTCCCTTTAGCTATTCTAGCCCTACCCACCAAGGAAGGATGAGGATGTTCCCACAGAAAGCTCCGCAGCTGTGAAAAGGTTATTTTTACCTTGCTCTGGTTGAACAGCCTCTGGTCATATTGGATTTCATTGGATGGCCTGGGGTTGGGTACACCCAGGGCAATAACTTCACTGATATCTCTGTTCTCATTTCGCTGCAGCTTTGACCTGAATTAAAAATTCTAAGTTTTATTAGGTCAGTAAACCGTATTTGTTGACATGCTCAACTGCAACCTGATCCTGTATTAGCTGCTAACAATCTGCCTCAGGAGCCAGATTTTGTCTGTTGCCCTTCCTTACTAGGTAACATTTAAAATTTGCCTTCTGGCAAAGGAAACATTTGGGAAAGTTATATTCAGCTGGGCATGACATTTAAATTTGCTTTCCACTATCTGCGATTTACATCAAGCTGACTTGCTCTAATATGTCATATTTATTCTTTGCAAAAACCAGTGTAATTATATTCTGGGAAGGCTGGACAATCTAATTTTAAGATATTAGAGATTTTAAGCCTTCAGAAACAGTTTGTGCTCAGAAATCTCACTGGCTTGGGCAAACAAGGTATTTCAGCCTACACTTATAAATCTAAGACTACTTCAAATGAACTGCTTCAAGAAACAAAGCCGCTAATGATACTCTGGTCTCACTGAAGTTACAGGATCCAAGTTTCAGCCTTTGGTGTCAATGTGTTAATTAAATCTGAATATACTGAACTTCTGCTAAAGAAAAAACACTCAAAACCACCACCACCACCCTGCCCCCCAATTCATCTGGAAAATTATAAATTTAGAAGAGAGTACTACGTTCATTTTGTAAAATGAACAAACAGTGCTTCAGACCAGCGAGTATCTCCACAAGGTAAAATTCAGGCACTCACATCAAGCAGAAGGAAAATCCCAATGTTAGTTTTGTTAAAGTGCCAGTACAGAACCAGTGCCAGCACAGAAACAAAGCAGCTTTCTTTCGTGACTCACCTTTTGTCAGGGGCTGCCCTGGAAAGATTTCTGTCATGCTGCCTCTCTTTGCGCCGGTCATGTCTGATTTCATCTCTTTCTCTAGCTTCTCCATCCTCTGAACAAATGCAAGATTGCTCGTTATAGACAAATATTTGAAGTTTGACACTGGCACAATTCAGTATTCTTTTACAGAAGGCAAATGACCCTTATCACTATTTGAAACTTCACACTAAATAAACTGAATACATGAAAACCCACAACTTCCTTACGCCACATGCAATAACTGTGAGGTTCACATAGAGATCCCATCAAACCAGCCACTGAATCTACTAAATTCACTGGCTGATCAAGACATGAAGAACAGATGTCATGCTTAGAAATTACAGGTGATACTTAGGTATCAAAAGTTCTCAGGTTATTTCTCCAAATCCATACCTCAGAGTGCTAACAAAACCCCAGAGAATCTTAAACCCAAAGAAATGTACCTTTTTCAACATGGGTTTTGATCCCCGCTCTTCTCTCCCTGGCTTTCTGAGCCATTTCTCGGAGCTTTTCCTCATGTTTCTCCTTTTCCTTCTGAGCCATCTTCCTCTCCACCTGGGCACGCATCTCTACCGCCTCCCGAGCCTGCACACATAAAACATAGTTAAGAAGACAGAAAGCTACCACCTGGGATGTGAGCAGATCTTCTGTCATAGAGCTATCCAGTAAATGTGGCAGGAATCAAGCCACAAGGAGGAAGTTCAAAGCCAGCCAGCCGCAGCAGTTAGAACTGAGAAACAAGACCCATGACCTCCAATAATTCAATCCGTGCCGAGACACTGACTGAAAGATGCTGGGGATAAGACCTTATGTCTTACGTCAGGCAACAAGTCGGACAAATCAAAAAGCTATAGCCTGTTCACAGCTGATTTTCCCAAGGAAACAAGTATACAAAGAAGGCAGAACCACATGGAATGAAACTGTTTAAACAACCACCTGACCTTTCTGTCAGCGATATAGAGAGCCTCAGCAAGCTTGGCAAAGTTTTCATTAATATGAACAGTCTGCAATCCTCTGCCATCTGCAGCCAGACGCTTATCCAATGGAATGGTGTAACCCTACAGTGGAAACAGAGATGCAGTTAATCACAGAAACTAGTATTATCTGTAATACAAACATTATTACATTTATTGTGTGAGAAAGCAAAAATACACACAGAACTCGCAGCCTGTCATTAACACGCCTCAACGGACCTCCTGTATACTTCCAATTCATACCAGGTAATACCACGCTTCACTCCAATACCACACTCCTCCCAAAGCGGAATCACAATTTCCCTTCTAGTTACATCTTAGTACAAATGACAGGTTTTGCTCAATAAGGTCCACTCCTGGCTTTGTGTTAAGAACTACAGATAATAGCTCTCCTAAGCTGTTTTACCGTTTGTGCTTAAAAATTGTTTTCCCCGAACTGTTTTCATACTTGTTAAGAGGTTAGTGGATTCAAAATGAGAAAGTGAAGGGCAAGGCTGCCAGCAAAAGTAAGAGATGCTAAATGCCGATTTTGCGTTCAAAAGCTGAAACCTAAATTTATTTATAGATGACATTTTAAGATTCTTCAGTGAGCTCTACAAAATTTTTGCTTTGCTTTTAGCATCTGTAACCTAAAATTTGATCTACTAATTAGCGCCAGTCCCAGTTATACAGCTGTGTTGGGGTAGGAAAAAAACCAAATAACATCCAAATACGCAGCTTTTTCCTTCCTCCACTTGAAGAGGCTGCCTCACGACAACAGCTTGGTAAGGTTGAGAATGATTAGACCAGTTACTGCAGCGAATTATAAATTCTCCCTTCTCTCTGAGCATAAACTTACTGGCTGACAAAAATCAAAAGGACAGGGCATACCTACACAAAGACAGAATTAAAAAAAGAGCTATGCTACCAGTGATGAAAATTAATTAGTGAAAAGCCTGCAACAGGAAGAACTTCCCAGCAATTTGGACTGCAGTATTAAAAAGAAACATGCTTGGTTCTCTATGAATTACCCTTCCCTTTTTCAGTTTAGATGGCTTTGTGAACTCCAGAGACTTTAGTTTCAGACTCCACATACTGCACTATTATGGGGA